CTGCTCCGGACTTCCGTAAACCAGAAAAGCTCCACGGGTGGGATGCTAAGGCTGGGCATGGCCGGTTGTTTACCATATTCAAGCCACCAAGATCTACACGGTTTACCGAACGGCTAACATATGATGCTGTCCGTCCAGACGATGAACCCCCCTCATATACTGACTAGCCGTCGAAACTAAAACGCAACTAAAATATCCAGATTTGGTGAAGAAGAGCAGAACGCAGGATATCTCAATTTGCTAGTTTCGAAATTTGCAGAGTAACCCTTCGCAGCAGGCTTATTTGCATCAGTTATACGTGTATTCGCACTCACGAGAATAAGTATTTGACTGATATTGAAATAAAGTATTTAGCAAAGCAAGACAAGTGCTTTTCCTGACCCAACCTCGGTGTCGCCGTCACTGCGAAGCCGGCATCAACGACCAATGAGATAACGGTGATGTTGAAACGTGGTTGGCAGAGTTCTTTATATCATTCACGGCAGCCCTCTATCAAGAAAGAACATTCCGAATATGACTGCATGAAGTCTAAACTAGCAGTCGATTTCATATGTTAAAGGTTTCTGGCTGGCGATCTGATGAACATCATGTGTGAAGTAAAAAGTACGCATGAACTCGGAAAAACCGATTCTTCAGGAAGTCCATAAAAGTCAACGCATGAAATAGCCCTCGTTATGCCGCTAGAAATAAGGGGACTGTACGATTACACCGTGTAAATGAGGAAAAATTACACCCATATGCTATTCTAGCCGCCGGTATTAAAAAAAATATCCTTTGCTTGTCACGAACACCACAGATCACATCGTCACATGATTGCTTCGCATTCAATGTTCGCAATTCTTTTCGATTTGAGGTGGCATCAGTTTCGGGAGACCTTTCAAATGGCTATCAGGTATCAGGTAGGCCCCATGGACTGGATTTAAAGATCCGCGCTCTGCTGTCATAAACAGTTTCGCTTAGGACCACCGTTATGAGTGTTATAATGTTCAGGTGGTACAGCGGTTTGTTCGCATGGCTGTTCTCGCAATATTGACAACGTATCGTCTCCAAATCGACACCACGTGAGAGTCACGACAAGATGGAAAAAAACAATGGTTATTTCGTAAAGTTTTTACATTTAAAAAAGTGGTAAATACTTGACAAATCGTTCAGCCCATTGCTAACTTGCCAAACAACTAATAACATCGTTCTGCTGAACACGAATCAAGTATTGTCCAAACAAATTTAGATACTTCAGTGTGCGCTGATACTACATATGCATTTTCTTTTCGATATGCTTCCTACGGCAATAAGCCTCGTAGAATTTTGACCATTATCACAATCAGCATAATACCGTAGCATCATTAACATTCATGGTCAGCGCTGACGAAGATATTAGCGGTCTTTCACGATTCAAACGTTCACGGTTTGTTATTTCATTGAAGTCGTGGGGGCAACAGCTTCATGGAAGTCGTTAATCATTCCGGTGCCGGTGCCGGTTCAACGTCAAATGCAATGAGGCCTTTCTTCAGCTGTGTCGTCCGCGGTTACCGCGTTAGGGCGCGCCAACAGCAGGGAGAAAGGTTCTCAACAATGTTAAGACCGATGACAGTGGAACTTTGGCGCTTGGTAGAAGATATTCTACCTATACAGAGTTCGTAGCGCTGTTCTTCTTCAGCTAGCCCTGTCCCTTTCTAGTCAGAAAACAGACATCACCGTTTCCAAGAGTGCTGCACTGCTGGCATTCTCGGATCCACGTAGGAGTCCTGACGCCCCTATAAACCATTACGCTGTCCCCAGCTGCCGCCTTAAACAGACAGCCGGGTCAACGTTTGTGGCCTGACAACCACATAACACACAATAAGGGGACACTGCATCATTCTTTTTCATCGAACTTTCGAACAACGTTCGAGCACGTCCCTCGTGAACCCGCGCAACGGAAAATACTGTATGATAATCTTTCATAAAAGAAATCCTGTTACAGTCGGGGAAGGAGACGCTCCTTGTCTTATCTTAAACTTTCAGTCGGCTCGGAACGGAAGACAATAGCAGGACAAAGTTTCCACGCTCTTGCCATCATCGTGCCCGGAGCATGAGATGCGGAAGTCTAATCTGACATTATCAGCGCTTCAGGTGAGTGCCACAAATTATGTAAATAAATTAATTAGTCAAACACAACATCTCATCTGTGCGTTCATTAAGGTGATGACTGGTTAACAACGGAATCGCTCGGGGCTGATCAGGGTCTGGTGTCATGCAGCGACAATAATTAATTCATGAAACGCATATCTCGCAACGAACGAGTACGCCATTAAACGATTTATTATAGCCGGACGTCGCAATCGTCAAACTCGCAGTTTATCAACGACATTCCTCCGGCTTACGGTATACGTCATGTCGATTTACAAAACCAACCCGCCCGCCTATGGTCGAAAGGCAGGGTAGGTCACAGTGCTATGCGAAGATCAGGAAACGGTAAAGGCTGGCTAATGCTCGAAAACGATTGGCCATCAACCTTCGGATCGGCCTCGAATGGCGGTGTCGTTCGAAATCGATCAAGCTCCATTAAACAGACGCTAATTCGTTATCTAAATTAGTTGCTTACACGATGATTCATGTTTCGACTGAGCCATGATTCATCCGACCAGCAGCTCAACATGTTTCGAGGATGGATTCGCTTGTTCGTCCTGGACCCCCTGGTCAGATGCGTCGCACCGACCGCATCTGCGACGATCACGCGGATTATACACTTTCGTCTGCAAGGCGACAGAACAACCTACTGCTTAGTCAGCCAAGCGCCGTCGCTGTCGTATCGACTTTTGCAAAAATGCATTGCGTGAGTGACGAGTGACTACCAAAAGTCAGCTTCATGGCAGAGAACGGAAATCAGAACGCGTTTCAGAGGCAGTCTTGTTCGTCAACGTCCGACCCCAACCTCTTGCTTATCGATTCAACTACGTAACTCACTTTGTCCATACTTACTCAGTGACTGACGAGGTCGGCTGAAAGTGCAAAATACTGCAAAAACCGATGGATGCGCATCATGAAGTGAACATGCTCTCAAACACGACAAAGCCATAAATCGCTCTAATTTACGTCGCCAAATGTGGATAGCTCTTACTGAACAATTTAGTCATCGGTTCTAGTTCATGGTCATGAAATATTCAAAAAGTCCCCAACCTTAGCGACAGTTTTACTCACTTTTGCGTTATGCGACTGTCATTCAGCAAACCAGCTACATCAGTTACGTTCGTAGTGTTCTGGTACCAGTTTCACTGCCAATTATTTGCTACCTAATTTACACACACATAACACTAACGTTTTATCTGTACTGAAAAGGTAGTAGTCTGATGACCTCGTTCAAGCAGCAAAACGTACTTATTTATCATGTACTTCATTCAGCTTTGACTTATTTGGCAAAGTTCCACCGTGACAGATCAGTGACAAATACAGTCGACTTTGTCACGTTATTAAAACTACGCTATAACTTCTGAAACTAACCATCCGTGCTTCGTTCTTAATAACCTCCTTCTTTACATATTTACCCCCTCTTATTTACTTACTCCTTTACATACTTACATGCACATATCCATACGTACTTACTGACGCACATACATATATACTTCTATTTAATAACTTACTTGCCTACTTACTTACAACTTGATTATATTTTACCTAGTTATTTAAACGGCGATGCACAACAAATGATGCAAACTTACCGGTGTCGACAGTTCGGTAACGAAGTTGGCTTGCCATGAAACGTTCGACGTTTTCTGTACATGAAGCTGGCACAGTCCTAAAAGCAGATCTGGTAAAACTTGTACCGAATCGTTGTTATGCATGATCGAGCGCTGTTAAACTGTTCGACTCCGTGTCCGGCGGGATTTTAAAACATTTGCACACGAACTGTTGACAGAAAAAGACACAGGCGAGTTCAACAATGACAAAGTCAGTCCATTCTCTGGTGATGATGAAACAGCTAAGAAATGGGAAGGTATTCGACTTCAAGTCCGTCTACTCTGTTACTCTCACACATGGTCATGGGTGCTGGAAACCGATTGAAATACTGTAATCTTTGATCAAACGGCAAAACCGAGGATCGACCGCCGGTATCAAGAACTCTGAAAACCTCCGGAACGGAAGTCCGGAACACATTAATTTCTGAACCGCTCCTACTTCAAGCTGAAATCTCAGCTGTGAAATGGTCTTAACATGTGATGAAAACGCGAGAAGACCGTCGTAACGCGGACTCCCTCGACGAAACAGAACCACGGAAGCCAAAAGACAAACCGAGGACCAAATAGCTCGATTATGTTAAGCATCTGGCACGGCAGCGCAGTGGAGGTTACCAGGTGTTATCAAGAGACCACAACC